AAGTCTCATTACATTCTAAAATTTTTCATTATCTTTCAATAACGTTCTGTTTTGTGAAACACGATCTTTCTCCTATTGTTAAGCACATGAATATTGTTTTTTTTCTATCTAAATTGGGACACAGTTCTTCACTATTCATTTACTTAGTCTTCAACAAATACAATAAGGACGTAGCTCATATATTATAACGAGACATTTTTTATATAAAGTCTCTGGTTGTACATCAACAAGAGCTGTCACGATCTGTGATGAAGAAGAGATGTTGTCAAAAATATCTATCACGTGTATGAGAAAATATTCTGTTGTATTATTGGCAATTATTCTCTCTATTACTCTTAATTTCTTTTTCTAAAAACTAAGAATATAATATCCAAACATTTTTATTTCATAATTTAACAGAGAATAATATTGAATAGTTGGATCAACAAGATCTATACGTAGCTAATAGTATTGTAATCATTTACAGAATAAAAATCTATATCCTTGTAGCGGATGATAGTTTATTAAAGGATAATCTTATTAAAACTCAATAATTTCGCATCACTAGATTGCAAAGAATAATACAAATAAAAGAGATTGACAGACAGAAAAAGAAAATAGTTAGATGATAAAATAAAATCACGGAAATATTATCTTTTCCATCGATCAATTTTTAAGAAGAGATAGATAAATCAGTTATACCAAGTTTTAATTTTATTGGCATAATACATTGTTCTGTTCGAATTATATTATGAAATAAACAACAAATACCATAAAAATGTAAATAAACAGCTGCTATTACAGAAATATGTAAAATTTGATGACTCTGACCAACAACATCAAAACGACCTATTATGTTAAAAAAAAAACAACTGATGAATAGATATCCCGTATTTTTTTTTCTTACCGGGAAAATATCGTTCTGGTATTCGAATTGCATAAATAATACCACCAGCAATGTATGTCACAGCCATAATACATAAATATAAAAAACCCATTTCAAACATACGTGATAAACCATGAAGAATACAAGCATGTGTTGCTGGAACCACACCTTGCAGACAAATAAAAACAAAAGAACGTTTAAAAACAACAACAAAAAAAATAATCTGATTTATACCATAAAGACCTAAAGCAATAAATAAAATAGCTTTAAATGGACGACAACGTGGCTTTGAACATGCAGCACTACTTGTGCCAATTATTGATGCAATTGAAAGCACAAAAAGTATACTAATGTATATAGTTTTCAATTGAAAATAACAATAAAATAAATAATGTATAACAGGTATCATTGAACCAAATATTAATATATTGATACCTAGATAAAACAATATACATCTAGCTAAAGAAATTTCTATGATGAAAGGTGATCGAAAAGTTTTTAGACATTATGATTGTTCATTTTTGAGCCATCAGAAAGTGTTTCCCTACGAGTCAAAACTTATGAGTTAGAACCAGAATTTCATGTTGTTTTCGAATACGAGTAGAGAAATTTTGTTGTACAAAGAAAACTCTTCAGCTTTTCTCTTTCGATTTCATTGGTATTTTGCCTATAGATACTACATAACGTTTTAATAAAAACTCTAAAATGATTTGCGTTTCTATTAATATTTGACAAAACTATCGAGTTTTTGATATGTATATTTTCTAGGAGCCACAAGTTTTTGCCAAAGTCAAATTTTGATCTAAAACTTGGTACATATAGAGAACTCCGTACAAGCTAATCTAGTTGAGCTTTCGATATATACGAAGTTCCAGATCAAAATTTGAAATAACAAGAGATAGTTGAAAAAGTATTCTCGTCAGTTTTTGTTCGAAAACAGTACAATAATCTTTGAGAAGCTTAAAAAGATTAGTTTCACTGGAGCTTATCGGATAACGTTTCCAGTGAACATATTTGTTCAGTTCGACCTGCCTGAAAGTATTTCAGCATTGATCGAGATGAGAATTTGAATATGATCTTAGAAATGTTCTGCCTATCTTTGTTTAAGAGTAATGAGAGAAGTTTTTGAAAGATCTGAAAAATGATATTTAATGATGAACTAACAGTTTTTTCGTTTATTTAATAAGTTCTTTATCGAACATGCTAAACAATGCCGGAGTTGGTCGTTTTCTAGAGCAGACACTTGCCTACAAAATTTGATACTGACTTAAGCCATAGATTTTGCTGAAGTATTTTTTCAAGAGCTCCTTTCAACGTAAAACGATCGTCGATTTTTTAACAATAAATATTTAGAAAAAATGAACATTGAAGTGCTTTATCGAAAGACAAAAAAAAAAAGGCTTCGAATAATGCATTTTATAGAATCGCTTCTACTCTACACATTGATAAATAAATAAAAATCCTCACTTTTACTAGGGGATTGTAATGATGAATATACCAATATTCTCCGTCTGAATAATCTTTTTTTGGATTTTCAAAGACTATTTCACTACTCGGAGAACAAAACCTGAAATTCAATTTCTAAATGCACAAAATTTTGATAATAACTCATAGCTTTTGACTCATGTGTTCTAAAGTGATTCAAGTTGCTATTAATTACAAACAAAAAGAGTTTCATTAATATGCAAAAACGAATCCCTCAAAATGAGGTTATAGAATATAAAGAGTCTGACTTGTTTTGATTTGCAGTCGATTAGACTTTTTAGATTTACGATGAAAGTTCAATTCAAAAAACATCTATTCTATTTTTCATTGAAGATCTGTAAAGAATCATACAGAACATTAATGACATTGTGAAGACTATCGAATAGGCGTGAGTAAGAATTCATTCTAAACTTGATTCGAATTCTGTTTGTTTTCGAATTTAGCTCATGAGATCTTCCTATTTAAAAACTCGATTAGAAAGACGTGAAAGCAACTATTTTTATCTTTCTTGTCATTCATCAAGTTTATTCTATTTTCAAATCATTTAACACATCAACTAGTATGACTATCAATCTTCATAAGAAATTGTGAAAGATCATAAGGCTATCTAAACTTCGCATGAATTATCGTCTTAAGTTTGTCAGAAACAAAAAAATCGTCTTTGAACCAATTGATCCAAAGTATTTTTTTTTAACCTAAGGCAATACATGCAAATCCTCTCATTCATACATCTATCATAACATTTTTATTTAACCGTTAAGCAAGAGTTTTTTTCCTATTATTACATAGCATAAAACAAAAATAAAAAACAATACAAACTTTGTCTTGTTAACCTACCCATATAATCAAGTTTAGAAACAGTAACTAAGACACTTGGTGAATAGTTAATAAATATATGTAATAAAGTTGAAAATGTTAAACATAATATAGCTGATATAAAGAAAATACTAAATGATATAATATCAAATATGTCCATTTGTTGATAATTATCAAGAAAAAAAAGTATATATGTTACAGAAATACAGAATGTACCAATTAAATGTGTCCAAATATTAATAGTTTCACTATGTATTGATGCAATTGAGATCAGACATTCGCGAACAGAATTGGTTGGTGGTCGATGCTTCTGTAATAAAAAATGATTATCACCAAGCCACTCTATGCAAATTAAAAGAACAATAACTTTTTTTCCTTTCATAAATGTAAGTCATCTTTTACAGTCAATTGTTGTTTTTCCTACCTGGTAAACCCCAATGTGCAATGTATCGTCGACGAAGAACATAATCAATTGATGATTGTTCTATTCCAGAAATAAGTCTTAACGGTTGATATTCATGATTAGTTATTGAATCAGTATCATAATGAACCGAACGTTTGATTTGTAATGATATATTTAAAAAAGAAAAATCTTGTTCGGACGATGTAATTCTTGTATGAAGATTTTTATTATCATTATTTTCATCATTAAATCTTTCGATTTCATCCTCAATTACGTGCATTTTTTCTAATGATATTGATATATTGTGTTTTTTTTTTGAATAAATTTATCTGCCCGAAGCGAATGACAATTGTTTTCTGTTAAAAAAAGATCTTATATACAGCTGAGGACGAAAGAATCATTGGTAACATTGAACAACCAATAAAACGATTCCCCGTTATTAGTAAAAGAGTTTTCTAATATACCAACTGTCGTTTCAAATTACCTCATTTCAACTAATTAACTGTATACTTTGTTTTAGTTCTTCTTATTCGCATTTGCTGTCATCACTTCATTATTAATTATTGATAATAGAAACTCATATACTGGCTATTTCTATATATAACATAAGTTAGCTAGAAGAAAATGTGGTGACTATGGAACAAGTTATGATTTTTATATAAGCATCAAATGTAAATGTTGATTCTGAAAGAGATTTCTACTTAAGTGTTGATTTTAGCCTACAGTCAGAAATTTCTTTTTATCAATAATAACTCGAAATAAAAATAAAACGACTGTTATATGCTGACGTATCATCATTCTTTATAGATAAAAAGAAGGTTTCGTTTGTACAAACGATGCATTGTTTCATTATGTGTATTTTTTTTTTCTAAACTTATGTATCACCTTCGATATTTATAATTAGCTTCGTTAGTTTGTTCCATTGCATATAAGTTATTTTAGAGAAAGATCAAATAAAAACTATTTTTATTCATTTCAATGAAAAAACTTCAAGAAGTGAAACATTATACTATTCCGGAAACTACTAGCTATGATGTCACTCTATACTCACAATGAAATAACCGGCTGTCATATTCCTGGATTGTTTCCTTTTCAAGACATTGAGTGACATTGAAAGACCTAATTGCAGTTTTTATTTCTGAATTAAAAAAGCAATATGATGAAAAATGAGTTACAGCCTTAAGTTTTTACAACAAGTATGTTGAAGCATATATTCTAAAAGAATAATTATTTTCTCTCATCTCACTTCTAATGAAATGTCAAATTTTAGACTCATTGATTATCATTTTATCCTTGTCCTACTAGGTGCTAATCTAACATTCAAATGGATTTTAATTATAGACTTGACAATAGAATCAAACTTATTGAGAAGTTAATTAAATTGACATGAAAAAAATTTATGTACAGATGCAAATACAATCTTTTTCCCATGCGACTTCAATCATATCGAGAAATAATAATTTATACAACAAAAAAGTCTATAGGATAGAGTTAATTAAAGTTTTGCTTTAGGGAATATTTCACCTAGTAACCGTGATTAAAGACACATTTGGTAAAAATAGTTCCCGAGCCAACTTTAATTTAAAAAAATTATCATTTTGATTACAGCACGTAATACAATAATAGAGAACTACTTTATTAATTGAGTTTATCAATTTGATAAAGTACTGAAGAATTACGTAGTACTAAATTTCTAGAAACATAATTAGATGTTTTAATAATTATTTTTAATATCTTAATGGGCCATTCTCTCCGCAAAATCCTTTCTTTTCTCATAGAAAGAAACAGCAAAATTGTCTCTGTCAACACAGATATGAATTTTCGAAAAAAACCACATTTTAATAGACTTCCGAAAGAAATTTCCAGCGTACTACCGTCAAGAAATTTTCATGGGTTTTTAACAGGTTTTTAGTTTAAGGAAAATTGATTTTTTTATTTGTATTAGCGTTTGAATAAACGGTCTCACACAGTTTAACCACCGCTGATACTAGCTTACGTCATGTGTAGCGTGCTTTTCAAAATTCGACTTAAAAATATTATGAATATATTATTTTCATGTTTTTTTTTCTGAATTTGAATGAAAAGATCTATGTCTAAAAACATTTACTTTTCTTCTCATAACATGGTTTTCAATCAGAAAAATTGAAACTCTTTTTATCGAGTTCAAGATATAATCGATTGCTCTTTATTGTTTTAAAAGTCTAAATGAAATTATATTTGTGCCTGATCAAGTTTTTTTTTTATAATTGATTTCTATGTTGAGCAAAGCGATATTTAGTGTCTTGTGGGGACTTATTCTTTTGCTTAATTCGCTACCATATTTACTCAGTTGATCATAGAAAATGAATAGAAGCAAATTTCGAAATTCTCTGCAAATGAAACCTGCACACAAGCATCGGCTCTAATTTGAAACCACTTCTAGCTATATAGCCGTTGTAAATGTAGGCCTTTCATTCATATGTTCTCATGTTCACAGGTTTGATCATTTCAATTGTTATGTAGATATGCGAAATCAGCTTTGGATTTCTGGTTCAACCTTATTGATTATTGCATTTCAGCTTCTCCATCGATGTTCACGTTCATCATCTTTGTTCCACTATTGAAATCATATAAGAAAGAATTTATTTTTATAATCAATCATTTTCGATAACATGAAACCGACTAATTGCAATAATGAAAAATACTTTAAATATGTTTTATCCTGAAAAAGACCGTATTCAGATTACTTTTTCTTTAATTCACTATATTTTGGAAAGAAATCAGGTTCTAAACCTCATCACATATGATCACGAAGAGATGTCTGCAAAAGGAAAAGAAATATTTTCTAGTGAATCTATTTTTCCCTTCACCTGACTTTCTTTTCCAACCGACAGATGCTCATAGTTTACCGAAAAACGGAAGTGATATAGTCTTTCGATTTGATGAATTCCGAAAATATGAAAAAAATATATATAAAAATGAAATGTACAACTTATTCAAGTACATTTATCTCGGATATAAGTTATTTTTACACTGCTCACAGCTTAAATAGAAATACATATTCGTGAAAATGTCTATGGATTTTTCCAAACGTCTTGTTTACTTTCTTTGCATTTGGTTTCATCATTGTTAGAAATATATACGTCGTTGATTACAATATAGTCACTTTCATTAGGAATATTTAAGTTGAAAGAAACCAATAATCTCTAAATCCAGATTGAAATCATTATTACTGTTTTATTCCTTTTATTTTTTGTTTAACTGATGAAAATGAGGCGAATGTGTATGAAGCTCTTCAAACAATCTGCGTAAATACTGACTTTCAATCAGAATAATACGAATAAACCAAAAACAACATTCATCTGCTTTGTGAGTTCCCAAAACCTATCATTTGAAAATATTTTTTTGAATAATTTAGAGTGTGAGTGTATGTAACATGAATACCCACACTCTAAAATAAAAGAGAATAATAATTTCTTTTTCGTATTTGAATTGAATATGTACCGAAGTGAAATATCAGTATGCACTATCTCATTGTCGACTTAGGAAAAGTTTCAAGCCAAAATTTTTGTCTATCGTATCAACTATAGATGGCGAGAAATGTAATTCTCTATAATGCTGAACGGGTGCAGGTGTGGCTAGCGATGCTGATGTCGGCTGTTGATTCCATTATGAATAGCGAGCGTCAGGTTTGAGTGTGCGTGTCAGTGTGAATGTGGGTGTCTTATGTGGTACTTGTTTTTGTTGTTGATAGATGTAGCTAAAGTGAAGTTAGCAACACCTACACAGACAAAGAGTTCTACATCCATACTCATACTCACAACCACATCTACATCCACCCGCATTCTACTTTGCAACAATAATATATTCTTACTTCTTTTAGCTGAGATTTTAACATCTCAACGTTTCTACATTTCAATATTTTTACATTTTGATGTTCTAAAACCTTGATATTTTCATCTTCGATATTCCTTTGTCGGCGTTTTTCTTTCGACCGTTGTACTCCGTCATATCAATAGAATGGATCGTCTCACGTTTCTTGAAAATGTTATTCTTACCGAGTTATGATTGCAGGGATATTTGAGAGAGAAACAGTTAAGCGAAAAATTTTCCTGATTAATTTTTTTTTGTCATGAGTATAGATTGGGACTAATGATTAGTCAACTGTTTTTCGTTGTAAAATATTTTTGTTTTTCTGGTGTTTTACCCAGTAGTCATACTCTCTATGACAGCAACAGAAGCTGCATTGAAAAGGAATAGAGTGAAAAATATAAATTGGGACACCAAAGCCTAGTTCAACATTCATTTCGATGTCATTTTTTCTTTTGCAAGTAAATATTGATGAAAGTCTCATTTTTTTTTCTGTTCTTCTTTCATTTTCTCTTTTCGTAATCTATGCCTCAATCGTTGCTCTCTCTCTGACGAGTATAGAGTGTTCAACGAAAAGGAGCATAGGAATCATATGACGAGACAAACAGGATCAACTTGTGTTCCCCTCCCCCATTTTTGATTTTCTTTTCCTTCAGAAATGTTGAGGTAGTGCAGTAAGGCATATACCAAAGTCAGGAACAAACAATTAGATTGGGTTGACCATTCTTAGTTAGAAATGTATAAAATCATTTTTTCTTAGTACTGGTCTCAGTCTTGATTAAAAGATTGTGTGTGCGTGGGCATGTTGCTGGATCCTATATTGTGTTTTCTCGTCGTTCGCACACACATCCATACTGTGAGCCATAATCCAATTTACATTTTCCTCGATCTATTGCAAACCTATAAATGAAACTGAGGAAACTAGATTACTCAGATTCCAAAATATAGTAGAAGATTATTGTAGTGATTAACTCTTATTGTGAGCGTGTCATCAATGTATGTAGTTATCTGTTCTTTAGAAAATCGCAACATGGCAGCAGCATCATTCAATCCAATAGAGAAAAACCATATTATCGCAAGAACTGGCTCCTATAAAAAATCAACATTTCAACAGCTCTTGAAGGATATAGTGCAACATATAAAGGAGAAGCCAGCTGCGGAGAAGCGTAACCCAACGAATAAAAAAAACGTAGTGAGCAAGGGGGAGCATGTGATCAACAGTGATGTTCTTAATATTCATCACGATATTATTGTAAGATTTTTTGAGTTAAGAAACGAAAATGTAGACTCCAAGTCATTGACACGACGTTTACTAGCCAACGATTCAACTCTCGATGATTTCTCCAACACAATACCAGGTGCCGATGCGACAACTATTGCCAATATGGTCGTTCAGATCAGCTTCAATGATCCATACTACAACGGAAATGC